CCTCCTCCTCCTCCTCCTCCTCCTCCTCCTCCTGCCTTCCTCCTCCTCCCCTCCTCCTCCTCCTCCTCCTCCTCCTCCTCCTCCTCTCCTCCTCCTCCTCCTCCGCCTCCTCCTCCTCCTCCTCCTCCTCCTCCTCCTCCTCCCTCCTCCTCCTCCTCCTCCTCCTCCTCCTCCTCCTCCTCCTCCTCCTCCTCCTCCTCCTCCTCCTCCTCCTCCTCCTCCTCCTCCTCCCTCCTCCTCCTCACTCCTCCTCCTCCTCCTCCCCTCCTCCTCCGCCTCCTCCTCCTCCTCCTCCTCCTCCTCCTCCTCCTCCCCCTCCTATCCCCCCCCCTCCCCCTCCCCCTCCCCTCCCCCTCCCCCCTCCTCCTCCTCCTCCTCCTCCTCCTCCTCCTCCTCCTCCTCCTCCTCCTCCTCCTCCTCCTCCTTTTCCTGAAAAAAAGACCCGCGCTCGCGCCGAACCACTAGACGCGGAAGGTGCTATTTGCCGAGCCCCCCAAAGGCGGCGAGCTGATAAAAAAATGCGACGTTGAGGGCGCCGTGCGCGGGCACCAGAAAGGCACAAATCCCACAAATACCCGGATATCAAAGCGCTCACGCTGGAAAGCGAAAATGCCCCCGACGCCAACGAGGCACACACAAACACAATTGTTCCACAGCGGCGGAATGACGTCACCGTAGCGAGAGCAGGACTTGGCAAACCAGCCGAACCCAACACGGATGTAGTTGCGCTTGGCGAGCGGGCAGGCGTGGAAACAAAAAACAAACTGAAGAGGGGCGGCGGAAGTTGCCGCGCGGAGCCCCCATAAATGCGCAGATTCGAAGCCTGAGGTCAACAAACGCAGAGAGCAGCTCACGCTGGGCGCGCACGCACACACACACACACACACACACACACACACACACACACGCGCGCACACGCACACGCACACGCACGCGCACGCGCACGCGCACGCACACGCACACGCACACGCACACGCACACGCACACGCACACGCACACGCACACGCACACGCACACGCACACGCACACGCACACGCACACGCACACGCACGCATGCACGCACACACGCGCACACACACACACACACACACACACTTGTTCCTCCAGCGGCGAGGCGACGACGCCATCGCGAAACGCTAAGCCGGGACACGCTCAGGCGAAGTTCCACCTGGAGCAGCTGGCGGCCTGGATGTCGGCAGTCGCTTGCAAAACAACGCAGGGACGCGCACGCACATGGAAAATGCTGCTGCGGCCACGCAAATTCAAAAGCTGGCCGAGCACAGCCCGGCGGACTGGCGCACAAACATGTGCTGTTCTGGACGCGCCCACACCGGCGGACGGTGCAAACGGTCCCGATGCAGCCCGACTGTGAACGCCGTAGCAAGAGACATTCCTACTCTCCGCCCCAGCCAGCCGATGAAGGCCCAATCCGAATACCTCCATCCTACGATGGAAAACAGCACAAAAACGACAAGGTTCGTCTCAGCACAGACATTACGTCGCCCACGTTGCAAAAAGAATGGCGGAAACGGGACGGGGCGCACATCCTGCGCGAAAGGCCGAAAGGTTGTTCTCGCCTCGGAGTCGCGTTCATTTTTTCAAGAATTCAATTCCAGCAAGGGCGCGGCGCGCATTTTTTATCACGCGACTCCGTCGACGCGACACCGGACGAACATGTAGTTCCCGACCCAGCGCCGCGCAGCCTTCGCCTGAAACTTGCGCTCCCGCTTCGACGCGGCGCATAGTTTACACCCGTCGATGTTAATGGGCCCGCGCGAATGGGCGATTTGTCGCCGTCACCCAAACTCCGTGCGCATGTCGCTCGGAAGTGGCGTGCCGCGCAGGCGCGGCACATGGTTCTCTCGCGGAATCGAGTGACAGCGACAGCGACAGCGGGGCCGCACGAGAGCAGGCGAAATGCCGAGCTCGCCGACGCGACGCGCAGCTTGGTAGTGAAACTGGCAGTGCTGCGTCAGCACGGCGCATGCTTCGTCTTCGCAGCGTCCATCGGAACGTTTGCCGGTCCCACCTTTGCCCAGCACGCGTAGTTTTATCCTCGCCAAGTCGTCAAAAGCAAAGCCGCACGCGAGAGCCTTTCGTTTGCGAGGTGGGATCGCGTTCAAATCCCAACGTCAAGGTGTGCCACAGCTGACGCAAATGTTGTGGAAGGGGGAGGTAGGCATAGGCGGGGCCTTCTGACTCGATCGGCCTGGATAACTTGATTCTACTCCTACGATCCTCAGACCTACTTTGTTCTGATCAACTCCATCCTACCCGACCCTACCCCACCCCAATCGACGCACCCCCTCTTTACTCTACCCTACTCTACTGGATCATTAGTCCATGTTGGTATATATGTATATATATATATATATACTCCTGCTGCGCCCCACACCCGGCCGATAGCCACCCCAATCCGCGACCCTCCGTCCCACGCGACAACCAACACGAAGACTACGACTTCCGTCACAACATGGACATTACGCCGTCCCTGTTGCAAAATGCGTGGCTGGAACGGGGCGGGGCGCAAAACCCGCGCGGCATGCCAAAACCTCGTTCTCGCCTCGGCTTCGCGCAGGTTTGGGCCGAAAGTGGCGTTCCCGCGCCGACGCATGCTACTCCAGATTTCGTAATAAAAGGGAGGGGGTCTGGACCCTCCAAGACAAGCCACTTCAGACCTCCCCCGTGGGAGAACCCTCCAAAACAAGGCCCCCGGGCCCCCCGGACCCCCCCAGGCCCTCCAGGATAGCCTGGAAGAGACCCCCTCCGAAATGAGACCCCCCTCCCTTTATTTTACGAAATCTGGAGCATTCACTCGCCAGTTTGGGGGAGCCCGCGCAAGCGCGGCGCACGGCTCGTGCGCCGAGTCGCGCGACGGCGACCACGGCCACGGGGCCGCGCGGGAGCGCGGCAGAGGTGCCGACCTCGCCCACGGCGCCGCGCAGAGCTCGTGGGTGCAAACGGCACTGCTGCACCAGCACGGCGCAGGCTTCGTCCTCGCCGCGCCCCTCGGGATGTGTGCCGCGCACGCCCTCTTTCGCAGCACGCGCAGCTCTCTCCCTCCTGCCAGGCCATCGAAGCCGGGGCCGCGCGCGAGCGCCTTCGATTTGCGAGGGAGGCAGGCGCTCCAGTACCAGCATCAATGTGTGCCACAAGCTGTGCTTCTGTTGTGGGCAGGGAGTGGGAATAAGCGGGGCCCTCTGACTCGCTCGAACTGGCTAACTCGCTTACACTCTGGCTCCGGATTACACTCCTTGCCCGTCGGTCGGAAGCAGCAGAACCATGAAGTAGAACAGCGTTGGATGTAGATTGGGCTTCCACCCGCCCCCTGAAGAGGAGGGAAAGGGGGAGACCGCTGGACTCTTGAAGCAGGAAGGCGTCTCAAGTAGACTGGGATCTGGGGGTCCAAGAATGCCTACGTTCAACGACCGACGGGTACCCTATTTTGTTCCTTCTTAGTGCCTAAGATATTCCCTCTACTCTATCTAGTTTGCTTTATTACTCGATTCTAGCCTACGCGACTGTACTATACCATCTACTCTATGCTACTCTACTCGAATACGCCCGGCTCTAAGCTACTCTGGTCCGCCATGCTCAACTCCACTCTAACCTCTGTATTGTACTCTACTCAACTCTACTATACTCTTCTCATTCACTGCCCCACTCGACTCCGACTATGCTCTACTATACTCTCCCCTCCCCTCATCTATGTTATAGTATACGCTGCTCTGCTCTACCATGTCCACTTTTCCTCTACGTGGGTAGATACGCCTACTCTGCCACCGAAACGGCCGCTGGCGACGGACCCATGGGGCCACATCAGACCTGTCAGCAACACCAGATGTCACACGTTCGTCTCAACATGGACACTGCGTCGCCCATGGTGCAAGCGGCGCGGCTTCCTCCTCCTCCTCCTCCTCCTCCTCCTCCTCCTCCTCCTCCGCCTCCTCCTCCCCCTCCTCCTCCTCCTCCTCCTCCTCCTCCTCCTCCTCCGCCTCCTCCTCCTCCTCCTCGCAACTCCGCCGACGCGACCAACGGCCGCAGAGTGCCGCGCTCGGCCCCGGCGCCGCGCAAACGTCGGCCGAGAGGTGGCGCTCCCGCCGTGCCGCGACGCCGATCTGTCGCTCGCCAATCCTTTGGGGGGGGGGGGGGGGGCGCGCGCGCGGGCGCCTCGTCGCCCTCGCCCCAGGCTCCGTGCGCCCACTGCTCGGCAGTGGCGCTCCCCCGCCGCGGGCGCGGCGCGCACGGCTCGCTCGCCGAAGCCCAGGAGAGCGACGGCGGCAGCGGGAGCCGCACGAGAGCGGGCGGCATGCCGACCTCGCCCGCGCGCCGCGCAGGTTCTGGAGCGAGAGTGGGCGTGCTGCGTCAGCGCGGCGTGCGCTTCGTGCTCGCCGCGCCCACCGAGGAAGTCGTGCCGCTCCCGCCCCCTGCGCGGCTCGCGCAGCGCTCCCTCCGCCAAGTTGGCAAGAGCGAGTCTGCGCGCGAGTGCTATCCGTCCACGAGATGGAAGCGCGCTCCAATCCCGACATCAAGTTTCGCCAGAATTGATTGTTATGTTGCGGGAGGGGGGTGGGAATAGGCGGGGTCCTCTGACTCGCTCGACCTGGTTGACTTGAATATACCCTACTACTTCTCTCTTCTACTATACTCCTGCTCTGCTCTGCTCTTCTCTCCTCTCCTCTCATCTTTTCGATTCTCTTATGATATACTGTACTCTACTCCTTTCTGCTCTACTTTGCTCATTTACCCTCCTGTACTCTACTCCACTCTGCTCTACAGCACTCTAATCTACTCTACTTCTGAGTTTGACGATTGTTGGACGATGGCTGGGACGGCATGAGAATAGCCACAGGAAGCCACTGCGATGGCACAGAAGGCATCGCAAACCGTTTGGGGAACAATAGGGGGGGGAAGCCGGTGCAACCAGCTGGGGCAGAAGAGGCGGGGGGGGAGCAGTGGGCCAGACCTCTACGCACCTTGAGCTGCGCTCTTGGAGAACACCGACTCGTCGGAAGGCCGAGGAGAGGCAGGACGAGGACGACCCCGGACGAGGAGAAGCCGAGGCCTGGCAGGTGCGGAGGACGTGGCGGGCGCCGCGGCCGCTCCGGGAGCGCTCCGCCATGCTGTCGCAGGCCTGGAGGTTGACACCAACACCAATATCGGCGGTGTGCCTCCACCGAGGGAAGAAGATCCCGACCTCGGCGATGGTGGTAACATTATGGCTTCCCGGGTGGCCGAGATATTGCCACCGAAATCTGGGATCATCTTCCCCAGGTGGAGGCAACCCCCCTGTGTTGGTGTTGGTGCCGATTTCTAGGCCTCCGCCGCTGCGCCCCCGAGGAAGATGGGCAGGGAGGCTCGTCCTGCAGGCCTGCCTGGCAGGAGCCGCCCCTGGGCTCCAGGACCGACCCCGCGGCGGCTCGGGATGGGCCTGTCTTCCGCCGCCACCACCACCATCAATCGGAGGGGGAGGAGGGGGAGGAGGAGGAGGAGGAGGAGGAGGAGGAGGAGGAGGAGGAGGAGGAGGAGGAGGAGGAGGAGGAGGACCCCCTCCCCCTCAAACTTATGGTGATGGTGGTGGAAGACAGGCCCGTCAGCTCGGGACGAAAACGCGGCCACCCGAGGGTGGGCTGGCGGGTCGAGGAAGCCGAGCGGAGGCGGGCGGGGCCAGCGCCGTCGCTTTGCCCCCCGTCTTTTTGTTGGTGAGAGCCAGCACCGCAGCCACGACTCGGCTCGTTGAGGCCGTCGTGGGGCCCTGTCGCTCTCTGCACGCCCTGCACGGTGGCCTGTGGGTCCGAGCATCGCGCCGCACCGCGACTGCACCGCCGATGCATCGGCGACGCGTCGGCGACGCCGGCGACGCATCGGCGCCGACGGCGTGGAGAAATCGGACTCCACATCGAGCCGCATCGCCGATGCATCGGCGATGCGACGTGATCCTCCGATACCATCCACTCGGACCTCATTTGGGAGGCCCGGACTGCAGATCGGCGGGCTCGCCGCAAGGGTGAGAGGGCTCCAGGCTTAAGTCGGGCACGGCCCTCTACAGGAGGAACGTTCAAAGATAGTCAAACAATAGTCTGCGGACCATCTGTTTGACCGTTCTTGCTCGGTGTTGGGAACACGTCTTGGACTATCTGTTACTCTTCGTCCAAGAATCCGCCTGCAGGATGACATGCCCGACCTCACTCCAGGCGGCGGCGCGGCACGGGGGCTGCACACCCGTCCCAGTCGGGAGCGGCCAAGAGGGGGGTGTCCACGAGAGGGGGGGGGTGCAAGTCATAACCGGCGGCATGTGCGCGGCCCAGCGGTGGGGCCAGGGACGCACTGAAACAGGAAGAGGCGCCATGAAATCTGGGGAATAGGGGAACAAAAAGTGGCATAAACATAAAAACTCGGAGGTCCGCGCGGATTTCCCGGATCGGCGCTGGACCCCCCTCCATGGCGCGCGGAGCGCGCCAGGGGCGGCGCCGGAGGCGCCGCCGAGGGGCCCCAGCGCCGATCCGAGAAATCCACGCGGACCTCTGAGTTTTCATGTTTATGCCACTTCTGTTCCCCCAGGGAAATATCCTGGCCCCCGCCATGATATCCACCTCCCCCCAGCGGTGGGGCCAGGGACGCAATGAAACAGGAAGAGGCGCCATGACGAGATATCATGGCCCCCGCCATGATACTCACCCCCCCTTATTGAGCCGCCCGAAATGGGTACGGAAAAAATGGGTACAATGCCCAACAGCAAATGTTGCCCCAAACCAACAGCGGCCGCTGTTGGGCAGGCGGCCTTCTGTCTCGAATGGACACAGGCCGCGGCGGCGCGGACCGCGAGTCCTGCTCTCGGAGCGAACAGGAACTGCTGTTGGGCATGGTGCCCATTCTTCCCGTACCCGTTTCGGGCGTCCAGACCCTGGCCCTCACCCCCCTCTCTGCCGCCCCCGAGGAGGAGGAGGAGGAGGAGGAGGAGGACGAGGAGGAGGAGGAGGAGCAGCAGCAGGAGCAGGAGGAGGAGGAGCAGGAGGAGGAGGAGGAGGAGGAGGAGGAGGAGGAGGAGTTGGAGGAGGAGGAGTTGCAGGAGTTGGAGGACCCCACACGCGCGCGCGCCTCGGCGCGGCGGGCGGGCGCCGCAGAGGCCAGGCGAGGGCACCGCGAGGGCACCCGCGAGGCAGGCGCGCGCCGCCCCCGCGAGGCCCCTCTGCCGCGGGGGGCCGCCGCGGGCGCGGGGCCCTCTCGGAGGGGCCCGCCGCCGGGGGTCCGCGGGCGGGCGGGCGCGGCGCTCCGACGCCGGCGCCTGCAGCCTCGATGTGCGCCACGCTCAAGCTCAAGTCGGGCGTGTCCCCCTGCACAGGGCGAGATGTTCGAGGAGAAGTAAAAAAAATACCCCAAGAATACTCCAAGAATGATCAAAGAAGTACTCCGAAAGTCGTCCCCCGACCATTTCTTGACTATTTTTGAAGATCCCTCCTATACAGGGGGATGTTCGAGGAAAAATAACAAGTACCACAAAGATACTCCCAAATGGTCAAAGAAATAATCCAAAAGTCGTCCCCCGACCTTTTTTTACTATTTTTCCCTACCTAGCTCTGCCTAGAAGGGATCTTACTCTCTTAGCTTGAAGGGGCCGGGCAGTGCTAAGCGCCCCGGGCGGTTCCCCCAGTCCCCTGGGAGCGGTTCCCCCCAGTCCCCTGGGAGCTTTAGCTTTAGCTTTAGCTTTAGCTTTAGCTTTAGCTTTAGCTTTAGCTTTAGCTTTAGCTTAACTTTAGCTTAGCTTTAGCTTAGCTGTAGCTTAGCTTTAGCTTAGCGTTTCGCTTAGCTTTTCGCTTAGCGATTAGCTTAGCTTTAGCTTAGCTTTAGCTTAGATTTAGCTTAGCTTGAGCTTAGCTGTAGCTTAGCTTTAGCTTAGCTTTAGCTTGGCTGTAGCTTATATTTAGCTTAGCGTTAGCTTAGATTTAGCTTAGCTTTAGCTTAACTGTAGCTTAGCTGTAGCTTAGCTGTTGCTCAGCGTTAGCTTAGCTTTAGCTTAGCTTTAGCTTAGCTTTAGCTTAGATTTAGCTTAGCTTTAGCTTAGCTTTAGCTTAGCTTTAGCTTAGCTTTAGTTTAGCTGTGGTTTAGCTTTAGCTTAGCTTTAGCTTAGCTTTAGCTTAGCTTTAGCTTAGCGTTACTGTTACTACTAATGCTGCTTTCCTAGGGGTTCCAACTCCTAGGTAGGGTCGCACTGGGATAATTGAGTATCCCTCCTGTAGAGGGAGAGGCCCGACTTAAGCTTAACCGAGCCCTATCCCCACTGGCGTGGCCTGGGCCCCACTGGCCGAGGTCTCCCCCCGGATGGGGATGTGGGCTGTTCCCTTCGGGTTGCGAGGGGGCCATCCCCAACGGGGGGGGCACGCTGGCGGGGCTGCCATACCCTGGCCCATGGAGGATAGGGATCGGATAAACGACACTGTCGGAGGCCTGGAAATTGGCACCAACACCAAGACAGGGGGTTGCCTCCACAGGGGGAAGGTGATCCTAGATTTTCGGTGTTGGTGGTATGAGTTCGGCCACCTTGGAAGCCAGAATATTACCACCATCGCCGAGATCGGGATCTTCTTCCCTCGGTGGAGGCAAACCGCCGAAATTGGTGTTGGTGTCAATCTCCAGGCCTGCGACACTGCTCGATCGGGAGCCTCTCGCGGCCACGCGCTCTGGCTCGCCGGCAGCGATCTGGCTCGAGCTGGCAGCCGCAGGTGCGGCCCGCGCAGTGCGCGCGGCGAGCACGAGCACGCCGGCAGGAGCAGGCCAGCGCGGCCGAGACGCCCGAGACAGGAAGGGCGCCCCGAGGTCGGTCGCCCCTCCTCCGTGCGCAGCTGACAGCAACGGTCGGCTGAGATGCCGACTCGGGAAAATCCTCGCCGAGCGTTCCGACGCACCGCGTCCACCTCGTCGCGTGCGGGTGACGTGGAGCAGGGCGGATTGACGCAACGGCAGCTCAAGATCGGCCCTGGGAGCCCTCCCAGGGTCCAGACGCACCAGCTTGTCGAGCTGCGTCAGGCCGTGGCGACGAGGAGGGCCCCCCCCCAGGCCCACTGCCATTGCCTCAACTGGCCCTCCTCTGAGGGACGGAAGCTGTCGATCGAGCCCGTGGTCCCGGCTCGTCCGAGCGACCTCGTCGACAGGCTAGCGGCTGACAGATGCAACCGGCCAGGCCATGTGAGCGTTTTCTTATTCGGCGTTTCGGCATCGGACGGAGGGTGGGAAGGGAGGAGATCTGGCTCCGGGCCCCTGCTTCATGCGACTGGTTGCAGCAGTGCGCCCTGTGGGGGACAGACTCCACCTGCTCGAACCATGCGCCAACAACCGCCAAGGTCTAATTACTCCAGGGGGGGGGGCGCCGATCGGCAAAACAATGGATAAGAAAACGATCACCCTCGGCTCAGGGTGCCTCGCCAGGCGTGTCGAGGCGACGCCGCCGCCGCCGCCGCCGCCTCGCGCGGCGCGGCAGCCGAGGCCGCGCCGACGCGCCGCGAGGGAGCGGACAGGAGGACGACGAGCGCGCAGGAGGGCACCAGCGGGAGGCCAAAACACGGCATATCAACATGCAGTAGGGCCCGACCACAAGAAACCCAGCCATGAGGCTCCAGGACGTCCGTCGATTTGTTTTGGCGTGGGAGCGCCACGCTCTCCATCGCAAAACCATCGAAGCCCAAGAAACCCAGGGCACCCTGGAGTTAGGTCGGGCATGTTCCCTAGAGGCGGATTTTGGATGAAAAATAAGAAATGGTCCAAACATAACCTCACATGATCAAAAATAATCGAAAAATCATCCCCAGACTATTTTTTTACTATGTTTGAATGTTCCTCCTGTAGATGGACAGGCCCGACTTAACCCTGGAGGCAAGCAGGGTGTTTCTTGGCATGGGCCTCCACTGCACAGTGCTCGGAAGGCGACAGAGTCTGCGCTGGGTGCGCCTCCAGCTGGACACCCCACCGACCCTGGTCAGGCTCAGGACGGGCCTGGCCGGGATCGGCGAGGCGGTCAGTGGACGCCCTCCCATTCGCTGCAGTCCTCAGAACGAGCGCGGTGAGAGCGTTTGGGGAAAGGAAGCAAAACACGGATGCCGCTGCTCCCGCCGTGATCTCTGCCCGCCACAGCGCGAGGGGGTCCGGGCGGGTCCCCTTCGCTCCCCTCCCCCCACCTTCCTCCTGCCCCGAGGGGCGACGTTAGGGGGATACCAACTCGGGGGGGGGGGGGAGGCATCGACCTGCAATCTTGAGCAGGGACCGACCGTCCCGGCATTCCTGTAGTCGTACCACGAAATGTTCTTAGAACCCAAAAATGTTCTAAGAACAAAACCAATGTTCTCAGAACATAAGCCCGATGTGATAGAACAAGACAGTCCCAGCCAGAAATGTTCTAAGAACATTTCGTGGAAACCACAAAAGGTTCTTAGAACATTTTTTGGTGGGGCTATAGGCGAGCCAGGACGCTTCGCCGCTGCTTGACAATCGGCGATGCATCGCCGATGGGTCGGCGAGGGGCTCTGCCGAGAGCAACCCCGCACGCTCCCGGGGCAGGCTGGAGCTCCGGGCCTCGCCCGATGTGCGTGAGCTCTGGCCGGGATCTCGAGGAGAATCCAGCCGTGACGGCGTGGGCCCTCCTTGGCGGCGCGCAGAGGGGGGTAGGGAGAGGGGGGAAGGCTTCTTAGAAGGAGGCTGCTTCTTAGAAGGCGCCAGCCTTCCATCTATAGAAAAGGATCGCGCCTTCTAAGAAGCAGGGGTGTTTCTAAGAAGCCTTCCCCCCTCCCCCTACTCCCCTCTGTGCGTGGCCGACCTCCAGAACGGGCAGCGACATCGACATCTGCTTCCCTACCCTGGCCGGCCCGATGCACAACAACACTCAGGGCGAGCGCGGTGAGAGCGTGGGCGTGCTGCCTCCTTGCCCGCGTCTCGCTGTAGAGAGAAGGAAAGCGATGGCCATGACCACGACTGAACGCGGAAACGTCGGCACCGACCTTGGCACATGGTCCAGATTGGCCATCGCCACACAATCCTCTCTAAGCGGCGACGGCCAGCATGGACCAGGAGCAAGGTCGGCGTCGACAAGACCCCACGACATACTTAGAGGCCTCCCAGATGGGATCGGAGTAGATATGGTCGGAGGATCGCGCCGAACCGCCGATGCATCACCGATGCAACCACGATGCATCATCGATGCATCGGCGATGCAGCGGCGACGTCGGCGATGCATCGGCGACGTAGGCGTTCAGAAACTCTGGCCCCACATCGAGCCGCATCGCGTCGAGGCATCGGCGATGCAGCGCGATCCTCCGACCCCATCTGCTCTGACCGCATCTGGGAGGCCTAGAACAGCCGCATCGCGCCGATGCAGCGGCGATGCGGCGCGATCCTCCGACCCCGTCTGCTCTGACCCCATCTGTCGAGTAGGAGATCGACTACAGAATCGATTTACCCCAAAACTGATGCACCGTCGAATCTGCGAAACGTACCCAAATCGCTCCGCAGATCGACGGACCACTCCGGCGGAACGCCGAAAGTTTAGGCCTATGTGCCTTTCCCGGTGAAATTGCCTCGCGCTGGCGCGGAAGAATTTTCCATGCGTCAAAAAATAAGTGGAAGAATGAATCCCCTGAAATAAATAACTACTACTCAGTAATCTCACTGGAAGATTTGTTTCTTCCGCCGCGGCTGGGCCACGGCTGCGCTTTGTTGTCTTGGTGTAGGAGTCTACGGGGGGTGGCATCGCAAGTCTTGCGACGCTCTCGCCTTCATTCGCCGTGGCAAGATCAATGGGCCAAACTATTGTCGCGGCGGTGTATTCTGCGCATCTTTCTCAGGGGCTCGACGAGAGAATCAAGTCTGGGGTAAATCAATTCTGTAGTCGATCCCCCATATACTCGAACCTCGGAGGCCTAGGGAGCGTCTTCTTCTTCGGCGTTTCGACACCGGGCGTAGTGGGGGGGGGGAAGGGGGGGGTCTGGCTCCAGACCTCTGCCCAGCGCGGCTGCTTGCAACAGTTCGCCCCCTGGGGAAAAGGCCCCGCCTGCTCGACACCGGCGCCAACACACAGCCAAGCTCCACTCCATCGGGGGGGGGACGGGGAGGGGGGGGGCGGTGCGAGGGCCCGCGCCGAGCGGCGGAGCAGCGGATGCGAACACGATGCCCTAGAATCATGTCGGGCGTGTCCCCCTACAGGGGGACCTTCTACGAAAAATGCAAAATACCCTTAAAAAGACATCGAAAGGCAACAAAAATAAGCAAAAAATAGTCCCCAGGCTGTTTTTGCATTATTGTTTGGTTTTTTGAGGGGAATTTGTTATTTCGTCGAACATCCCCCTGTAATGGAACAGGCCCGACTTAACCCTGGAACGCCGACCACGGCCCGTGTTCCTCCCCTACAAGGGTATTTTCGACGAAAAATACATGGGGATTTTCGACGAAAAATAAAAGGGGATTCGGGATTTTCGACGAAACATAATAATATTGATTTTTACCTAACAGCGAAGACTGATAGGTTTCTAGTGGGATCAAAAGAGAGCAGCAGATCACTCCACAGGGGGGTCCGGGCAGGTGTTGGGAGTTGCCGGGCGGCAGGTGCCGGGCTCGTTTTTCATCAACAGTCACACACTTCGTGCTCTTCGACTTCCCAGAACTCCATTCCCAGGCCACATTCTCAATACCCGGATGCAACAGTCACACACTTCGTGCTCTTCGAGATCCCAGAACGCCATTCCCGGGCCACATTTAAAATAACCGGATGCAACAGTCACACACTTCGTGCTCTTCGAGTTCCCAGAACTCCATTCCCGGGCCACATTCTGGAGGGCCCGGATGCAACAGTCACACACTTCGTGCTCTTCGAGTTCCCAGAACTCCATTCCCGGGCCACATTTTTGAATGCCCGGAGCCAACTGTAGGCCACTTCGTGCTCTTCGAGTTCCCAGAACTCCATTCCCGGGCCACATTTTGAATGCCCGGAGCCAACTGTAGGCCACTTCGTGCTCTTCGAGTTCCCAGAACTCCATTCCCGGGCCACATTTTGAATGCCCGTAGCCAACTGTAGGCAACTTCGTGCCCTTCGACTTCCCAGAACTCCCATTCCTGGGCCACATTTTCAGCAGGGGCAAGAGCACGACGAGGAGGAGGACGAGCAAGACCAGGAGGACGAGGACGAGCAGGAGCAGGACGAGGAGCAGGAGGAGCAGGAGAAGAAGGACGAGCAGGAGGAGGAGGAGGACGAGCAGGAGGAGGAGGACGACCAGGAGGAGGAGGACGACCAGGAAGAGGAGGAGGAGGAGGAGGAGGGGAGGGGGAGGAGTACCAGGAGGAGGAGGAGGAGGAGGGAGGAGGAGGAGGAGGAGGAGGACGAGGACGAGGAGGAGGAGGAGGGGGGGGGGAGAGTACCAGGAGGAGGAGAACGAGGACCACCAGGAGGAGGAGGAGGAGGAGGAGGAGGAGGAGGAGGAGGAGGAGGAGAGAACACCACCAGGAGGAGGACGAGACGAGACGAGGAGGACGAGGAGGACGAGAACGAGGGCGACCAGGAAGAGGAGGAGGAGGAGGAGGAGGGGAGGGGGAGGACTACCAGGAGGAGGAGGAGGAGGAGGAGGAGGAGGAGGAGGAAGAGGAGGAGGAGGACGAGGAGGAGGAGGAGGAGGAGGAGGACGAGGAGGAGGAGGGGGGGGGAGAGCACCAGGAGGAGGAGAACGAGGACCACCAGGAGGAGGAGGAGGAGGAGGAGGAGAGAGCACCAGGAGGAGGAGGACGAGCAAGACGAGGAGGACGAGAACGAGGACGAGCAGGAGGAAGAGGAGGAGGAGGAGGAGGAGGAGGAGGAGGAGGAGCATGAGAAAGAGGAGGAGGAGGAGGAGGAGGAGGAGGCAGGCTGATGCTGAGGCTGTGACTGCGACTGCCGTTGCCGCTGCGACTGTCATCGCGGATGCGACTACGACTGCGAGAACAGCAGAATTCGACAACTGGATTTTCATCTGAATCTTAAGGGGAATGCTTTCAGATATGCTTCTACACATCGCTGTTAGGTTGCTTTGCCGGGATAATTTTGTTACCTAACAGCGAAGACTGATAGGTTTCTAGTGGGATCAAAAGAGAGCAGCAGATCACTCCACAGGGGGGTCCGGGCAGGTGTTGGGAGTTGCCGGGCGGCAGGTGCCGGGCTCGTTTTTCGCCAACAGTCACACACTTCGTGCTCTTCGATTTCCCAGAACTCCATTCCCAGGCCACATTCTGGAGGGCCGATTGCAACAGTCACACACTTCGTGCTCTTCGAGTTCCCAGAACTCCATTCCCGGGCCACATTCTGGAGGGCCGGATGCAACAGTCACACACTTCGTGCTCTTCGAGTCCAGATTTTGGATCGGGCCACATTCTGGGAGGGCCGGGAGCCAAAGCTCACACCACTTCGTTTGCTCCGCATGGCTTCCAGAACTCCATTCCCGGGCCACATTTTGAATGCCCGGAGCCAACTGTAGGCCACTTCGTGCTCTAGTTCCCAGAACTCCATTCCCGGGCCACATTTTGAATGCCCGTAGCCAACTGTAGGCAACTTCGTGCTCTTCGACTTCCCAAAACTCCCATTCCTGGGCTACATTTTCAGCAGGGGCAAGAGCACGACGAGGGGGAGGACGAGCAAGACCAGGAGGACGAGGACGAGCAGGAGCAGGACAAGGAGCAGGAGAAGCAGGAGAAGAAGGACGAGCAGGAGGAGGAGGAGGAGGACGAGCAGGAGGAGGAGGACGACCAGGAGGAGGAGGACGACCAGGAAGAGGAGGAGGAGGAGGAGGAGGAGGAGGGGAGGGGGAGGAGTACCAGGAGGAGGAGGAGGAGGAGGAGGAGGAGGAGGAGGAGGAGGAGGAAGAGGAGGAGGAGGAGGAGGAGGACGAGGACGAGGAGGAGGAGGAGGAGGGGGGGGGAGAGTACCAGGAGGAGGAGAACGAGGACCACCAGGAGGAGGAGGAGGAGGAGGAGGAGGAGGAGGAGGAGGAGAGAACACCAGGAGGAGGAGGACGAGCAAGACGAGGAGGACGAGAACGAGGGCGACCAGGAAGAGGAGGAGGAGGGGGAGGAGGGGAGGGGGAGGACTACCAGGAGGAGGAGGAGGAGGAGGAAGAGGAGGAGGAGGACGAGGAGGAGGAGGAGGAGGACGAGGAGGAGGAGGGGGGGGGAGAGCACCAGGAGGAGGAGAACGAGGACCACCAGGAGGAGGAGGAGGAGGAGGAGGAGGAGGAGGAGGAGGAGGAGGAGGAGGAGGAGGAGGAGGAGGAGGGGAGAGCACCAGGAGGAGGAGGACGAGCAAGACGAGGAGGACGAGAACGAGGACGAGCAGGAGGAAGAGGAGGAGGAGGAGGAGGAGGAGGAGGAGGAGCAGGAGCAGGAGAAAGAGGAGGAGGAAGATGAGGAGGCAGGCTGAGGCTGAGGCTGTGACTGCGACTGCCGTTGCCGCTGCGACTGTCATCGCGAATGCGACTACGACTGCGAGAACAGCAGAATTCGACAACTGGATTTTCATCTGAATCTTAAGGGGAATGCTTTCAGATATGCTTCTACACATCGCTGTTAGGTTGCTTTGCCGGGATAATTCTTTTTTAACCTAACAGCGAAGACTGATAGGTTCCTAGTAGGGTCAAAAGAGAGCATCATGACGCCCCAGGGGGGTCTGGGCGGGATCCGGGGGAATGCCGGGGATTTTTTTTTTCGCCAACAGCTACACACTTCGTGGTCTTCGAGGTCCCAGAACTCCATTCCCGGGCCACATTCTGAATAACCGGAGCCAACTGTAGGCCACTTCGTGCTCTTCGAGTTCCCAGAACTCCATTCCCGGGCCGCATTTTGAATGCCCAGAGCCAACTGTAGGCCACTTCGTGGTCTTCGAGTTCCCAGAACCCCATTCCTGGGCATGATTTTGAATGCCCGGAGCCACCTGTAGGCCACTTCGTGGTCTTCGAGTTCCCCAAACTCCATTCTTGGGCATGATTTTGAATGCCCGAAGCCAACTGTAGGCCAATTCGTGTTCTTCGAGTTCCCAGAACTCCATTCCCGGGCCACATTTTGAATGCTGAGGCAGGCTGATGCTGAGGCTGAGGCAGGCTGAGGCTGAGGCAGGCTGAGGCTGAGGCCGAGGCTGAAGGCAGACTGAGGCTGAGGCTGAAGCAGGCGAGGCTGAGGCTGAGGCAGGCTGAGGCTGAGGCTGAGGCAGGCTGATGCTGAGGCAGGCTGAGGCTGAGGCTGAGGCTGATGCAGGCTGAGGCTGAGGCAGGCTGAGGCTGAGGCCGAGGCTGAAGGCAGACTGAGG